ATGACTGACAAGGCAATTAAAGCGCAGTGCAGATCACCCCTGTTTTTTCATGTCAGGCTGTGTTTAGTTCGCGAAATTTGAAAATTTAGCTAATGTAGCACTTTCATTTTTATTTGGCAATTAGTGTTCAATCATAGACTAATTAGGCTTAAAACGTCCGTCTCGCGATTTCCAACCAAACTTTGCAATTATTTTTTTTCGTCTACATTTGATGCTCCATGCACGTATCGCAAGATTCGATGTAATAGCTACTCTAGCATTTTTTGGGAAACTTTTTAGAACTAAACAGGTCCTCACTGGATTCCAATTTAGCGGTGGAAGGAACGAAGCTGCATTTTTTTCTTCCTTGATCCGCTGTAATGGAAGACACTGTGACGACAGCTGAAAGGGTACGATCGCAGCCGCACCTGCGCCTTCCTCGAGCCTTCTTCGTCGTCGTCGTCGTCGTCTTCAACTGTGCTCATCCCATCACGTCCCATCTTCACTATTCAAACAGTTGTGATCACTTAAGATTGATCATGGGTAATTCGAGTATATGATACATGAGTACAATACATCAGTAGTTCAAATCGAATATAAGACTTCACTAAAACATGGTCTGACAAATTAATAACGTATATAGGAGAATAAGTAGTGACATAGTAATTAATGTTTTGTAAAATGACATGCATAAATATATTCTCATATGTTTGTCCTTAGGATCTTAGATATAAGTTCTGGGGCAGGCTGACGCAGAGCTTATATTCTGTAAAATGTAATAGTAACTAGAAGATCCTTATGCGTCTTTAATTTTTACCAGTTGATTAGCAATTTTATGGGTTGCTTGTTTGAATTTTTGTGAAATGAGGTATTTATATTGTGAAGTTGAACTGGTTTGAGTGGAAGGTGTGGTCACGCATACAAAAGATGCACCAAGGTTTGGTTGAGTCCTCTCTAACACGAACCTGCTTCTTTTTTTCATTGATATTTTTTTTAATATGTTGATGCTTAGATTGGTATGCACTACAAGGTGTTAGAACGCTAGGATCGCAAACAGGTTGAAGGCGGGCCAGATTTGACCTAGCAGACTTTCAAATCGGCTATCACCTAAAAAGTGTGTTCATAGACGAACACTTCACCTTATGCCTAGGACGATGAGCGCGACACGCAAAACACATCATCGGAGGAGCCTTGTTGAGAGCGCAATACGCAAGACAGTTAGCGAAGTCTCTTGAAACCTGAAACCCCACACGCCCAGGAGACACCCCATCGAGGCGTGGGGCAACTATGGGTTGCCATAGCCGGCCTGAATGCTCAAGAGCTTCGTGTAATTGAACCAATAGCCATCAGCAGAAACAAAGGACGAAAAGCAATTAAAGATTGGAAAAGTAAGGTAGCGGATAAAACTAAGATAGATTGGTTTCTTTGTTTGTTATGTGTTCGACACCTTAATCAGCATTGTTCTCACGTATACAGAGAAGGGATGGTCTATCACAGTAGGAAACCTGTTCCATATATAATCTACAAGTTTCCTACATGCTGATTGGGCAAGTTTCCATAGAGATTGGCTTGAAAATGTCTCGCATAGGTAAAACTGGCCTTGGCTGGTTGTTTAAGTTTTGTGTTTTTACTGCAATTTTGACCCTTTTCGGATGCATTTGAGTTTCCAATATGACATTGGACCTCCCGATTATATTTTTGTTGTCAACAAAATGTAAAAGACATTTTCTATTGGTGTATACTCACTCCATCCAAAAAGTAATGCATATTTCATTTTTCGAGAAATCTCTTATTTTTAAATTGATCTGAATTTATAGAAAATAGTATTAACTTTGTATCTCTAAATAGATTTACAATATATCATGATTAGTTTAATAATAATTATTCACTATCATAGATATTAGTATTTTTCAATAAACTTGGTTAAAGTTAAAATTACGATACGTGTATTCATTCTTTTTAGATAGAAGAACATAAGACTCAGCAATGGTTAGGCTCAGCGGAGAGCAGTCAGTGAACCGAAAAAATCGTGCGAGGGTCACATTTTTCCTCATGACCTGGACTGGCCACCTGAAATACGTAAGTCCTTTTCTTTTCTGTTAAAAGTTAGTGCTAAGAAAGGATATTCAATTTCTACGTGCTATTTCTCTGTCCTTACTGATGAGGTGTGGTTACATCACAGATCACATTTTCTTACAGTCGTCTAGCTATATCTGAACACAAAGTTTATTGCGCGGCGGCCGCATGCCCGCGCCGCCCCAGACAAAGAGGAAGAGGAAGGAGCCTGTGCACGCGTCGGAGAGGAAGGAGGACGCTAGGGTTCCAGCGAGGGGGTCGTCGGCATCGGAGACGATGAGCTCGCCGGCCGTGCCCTCTTTCTTCTCTAATTCCCGTGGGCTTAGAAGGGGTCGGCCGGGGACAGGCAGGCCGATCATGCGGTGGGGAAGGAGGTCGGGCGGCTTAGGGGCCCTGGCAGTTGCGGAGGCGGCCGGGCCAGGGAGGCGGGGCGCCATGGCGGAGGGGGGTCGCCGCTGCTGCGGAGCTCGCTGGAGGAGGTCGCCGCTCAAGCTTCGCCGTCGCGGGAGGGGCAGGGGAAGAAGGCGGCTGCCGCGGGCCGCGAACCCTAGCAGCGCGCCAAAGGGTCGGTGGTCAGCGACGGGTGAGGACGAGGAGGAGGGCGGGCGGAGCAGTGAGGGCGGGTTGAGGGCGGCAATTTTGGGCCGGAATGATGATGCATTTCTTCTTCCTTCCTCGCTGTACTCACTTGGTCCCAAAATTCTATTTAAATACTTGGCACTCTCACTTTTCAATGGACCTTTCTTTTATCTCAATACACCTTTCTCTTTTCTCAATCATCTATATCTCTATTTCTCTTTATCTTTCCTTCTTGTCTTCTTTGCACAGCAACTTTTTAATTTTCTTTAATTCTCTTGTCTAAACTAAAACATCTTCTACTTTAAGACGGATAGAATAGCAGATAAAGTCCTTTCTACATTGTTCGACAGAAGGAAGTGTACGTCAGGTCTCTGTGAGATCTCAGTCACGCATAGCATCTGCATGCACCTTCCCGGAGCCGCCTTCTTTACGGTGCCCCTGCCATCACGTCCACTCCTCTTCAGTTTACAAGCTGGATCAATCAATGCTCTGATTTTTATGCACACACCCATCGGCCATCGCTGCCATATTGGACCTGTTAGCTCCCTCTAAAATGATTTCTCAATTTTTCGGTAGTCAAACGATTTAAAGTTTAACTAAAGTTATATTTAAAAATAATAAATATTTATGATATAAAACAAGTATTGTTAAATTAATTATAAAATACATTTCTTATAGCTAATCTAGTTGAAGACATAAATATTATGGTGTGTCTCCACTGCAAGTGGCTGCGGTTTTGCTTTTTCATCAGGCGGCGACGATGGAAGCCATTGGACCCTAATCCTACCGCTCAGGAGTCATCTTCTACCTCCTCCCGTCCCTCTTCTTCCTCCGCCCTCCTCCTCGCCCTCGCCCTCGCCCCCGCCGCCGCCCTCCTTCTTTTTTCAGTCGGAACAGTGTTTTTCTCTCACAACAATTCAGCCGGAATAATATTTTCAGCCAATTTCAGCCAAGTAAACGGGGCTATGCGTGATCGCAAAACAAAGGATATGGCTTGCTGGGGCATCTCCAATAGTTCTAAAAAATAATTGGTAAATTAATGAGTTTTTCAAGTGGCTAAAAAAGTTGAGAGCATATTTGTTGGGTTCCTCCAACCATTTATAAAATTTGACACCTAAAAATAGAAGGCAATTTTGCGTCAGGAAGCTTTTGGACTATTTTCTAATCACCTCAAACACTTTTATATCTTCTTTCTCTCTTGTACATTTGTATTGGAAACCCTGTCCTTACTCCGTATTCTTACCCATGTCCTTCCACCTTTATATTGACCGATTGATATATGCGCACCTATGTTTTTGCACAATTGGATCGATTTCCCTAAGTGAAGAAAGATTAGGAGTTCACATAAGGAGTTGTTGCAGAGTGATTCTTTAGAAAAACTTATAAAAAAACAAAACGGGCCGCGCCTAGTGGCTGTGTTGACAATGCCAACATAATTATAGTATTATAAAAATATTCATTATATTCGCATGAGAACAAGATCTCCCAAATCTTGGGTGGGTTTGCTGGAGGGGGGGAGGGGAGTTGGTTCACCTGTTGCTCTTCAATTCGGTCAGTACCATGTTGCCTAACTATTAGCAGAGTACTTATTATAATTATATAGCCTGTCCCTTTTAAATTATAAGTAGTTAAAGTGTATTACTTTTGCTACGGATCTATATATATTATATCTAGATCACTAGATGTACAGTAAAAACAATGTTTGTAGAAAACTCAAAATAACTTACGGTTTAGAACAGAGAGAATATATATGTGCACTAGGCATTACTGGACTCCTACTTATTAGTGGTGGTTCAATAAAGTGTATGATAATAATCTGTCGTGCTAGAGATAAGCTATCTTTTATATATCGATCGGCGATTGAGAGAGAGCACCTACCAACCCTGGTATGACTGCAGGTTCGGGTTGGCTGCCTCTGAATTTTGAAAGAGTATAAGCTGGCCCACGGCCCACGCCACACTCACCTCGATCGACGGACGTCCACTCCGGTCTCCGGCTAGGCGCGCCGCCTCCGTCCGCCCTTCCGAGGCGACAAGGCAGGGCAGCTGCCAGGAAAATCTGGTTGCTTTTGTTGGCTGAATACTTGAAATGCTGGCCGGCACGGAGGATAGGATCATCACCTGTGACGTGTGCAGGCAGGGGGTCCAGCAGGCCCATGCGCCGCCTCCGAGTCTCCGAACCAGCACTTGCCTGGAAGCTCCGGCGAGCCCACCTCACACCCCCACCGGCCACCGCCGATGATGAAATGAAATGTATAAAGTCATTGAAAGTGGGGACTTGACTTGCATTCGGAGCTGACCATTCTCAGCCTCACTCACATACGTGGTGTGGTACTCCCACCGCCGTATACCTCTTCCTCATCAACCATGGCCGCCGGGCCACTGCCACCGGAGGAGCTGGACCTGGACTTTCTCCTCCATCCCGACCCGCCCTCCCCCTCCGTCTTCCTCGACCTCCCGCCCACGCCTCCGCCCAGCTACTTGGACGACGACGACATGGTGCTCCCCTACATCTCGCACTTGCTCATGGAGGAGGAGGACGCCCACGCCGACAGCTTCTTCTACCAGTACCCCGACCACCCCGCGCTGCTCCACGCCCAGCAGCCATTCGCCGACATCCTAGCCGACGCTGCTGCTGCCTGCAGCACCAGCTCCACCGCCACCGCCACCACAACCTCGCCATCCTCCTTCACCTCCGTCGACGCTCCTCAGGATCAGGGGCAGGGCACCTCTGACTCTGACCACTCGCCCAACACCAACGGGAGGGATGCAAATGCAGACATGGCCACCTCCGCTTTCCTCAAGGGCATGGAGGAAGCCACCAAGCTCTTGCCATCCAACACCACCACTCTGCTCCTCCACGACGCCAGGGGCCGCAAGAACAGGCACGCTACTGCCACGGACGACGACGGCGACCCAGAGTTGCGCAGGGCCAACAAGCTCGTGCTGCCGGCCGAGACGGCAGACGAAGCCGACGCCCGCCGGATGTTCGACGAACTGATGATCCACGAGCGCGACGACATCTGCATCAACATGAAGGGCGTGCAGCAGCAGCAGGGCCAGGGCCTGCTGGCCACCTCCACGGACGACACTGACAGCACCCAGAAGCCCACGCGGCGGCGGAGGCGCCGGGGCTCGGCTGCCGGCGACGGCCCGGTGGACCTGCACGCGCTGCTGCTCCGGTGCGCGCAGGCCGTGTCCACGGACGACCGTGCGGCCGCGCAGGACCTCCTGGCGCACATCCGACGCCACTCCTCACCGACTGGCGACGCCGCGCAGAGGCTGGCGCACTGCTTCGCCGAGGGCCTGGAGGCGCGCCTGGCCGGCACGGGCAGCCGCCTGTACCGCTCGCTCATGCTCCGCCGCACCTCCGTCGCCGACTTCCTCAGGGCCTACCGCCTCTACATGGCCACCTGCTGCTGCAAGAAGGTGGCGTTCACCTTCTCCAACAAGACCATCCGCGACGCCATTGCCGGGGGCGCCAGGCGCCGGTTGCACATCGTCGACTACGGCCTCGGCTACGGGTTTCAGTGGCCCGGACTTCTGCGCGGCATCGCCGCGAGGGACGGCGGACCTCCGGAGCTGGTCAGGATCACCGGCATTGACCTGCCGCAGCCTGGCTTCCGCCCGGCGCACCAGATCGAGGACACCGGCCGCCGCCTCAGCGATTGCGCGCGCCAGCTCGGCGTCCCGTTCGAGTTCCGAGGGATCGCGGCGAAGAGAGAGGACGTTTCTCCCGAGGACCTGGACATCGACCCAGCTGCCGAGGTGCTCGTTGTGATCAGCCTCTGCCATTTCAGGCTTCTGACGGACGAGATCGAGATCAGCGTCGCCGCCGCCACGCCTTGCCGTCCCAGACCCAGCCCCAGCCCCAGCCCCAGCCCCAGGGACCAGGTGCTCGGCAACATCCGTCGGATGCGGCCCGACGTGTTCATCCACGGCGTCGTCAGTGGCGGCTACGCCACCACCTACTTCCCGACGCGGTTCAGGGAGGCGCTGTTCTACTACTCGGCGCAGTTCGACCTGCTGGACGCCACCGTCCCGCGGGACAGCCCGGAGAGGCTGCTGCTGGAGAGGGACATCTTCGGCCGCGCCGCCATGAACGTCGTCGCGTGCGAGGGCGCCGACCGGGTGGAGCGCCCCGAGACGTACCGGCAGTGGCAGACGCGGAACCAGCGGGCCGGGCTCAGGCAGCTCCCGCTGGAGCCTGCCGTCGTGAAGGTGGTGATGGACAAGGTGAAGGACAACTACCACAGGGACTTCGTCGTCGACGAGGATCAGGGGTGGCTGCTGCACAGGTGGAAGGGCCGTGTTCTCTATGGCCTGTCCTCATGGGTTGCATGCTGAATGCTGATCAGTAAAGTTTATGGGTTTCTCAGGCTCAGTTGTTGCTTCCGTGCTTTTAAAATTTGTGGCATCAATTGTTCGGCACGTGCATTATTGTATTTGTAGATAGAGTAAACTTATGCGTGATTAAGATGAAATAAACTTCTCCAGCCAGTCTGGGGTGAAAAAAGGCAACATTCGTTCTTCCAATTTGTATTTTTAAATGTAGCACAGTACTCATTTATATATGCGACCTTTTGTATCAAAGTTTCTCATTGGGCCGGCGTGTTTGCATCTAGGTAGTCCCTGTCACATCAGACGTGGGATGCTAATTATGAGGACTAAACCTGAGCTAACTAATTATAAAACTAATTGTACAGATGGAGACTAATTTACGAGACGAATCTATTAAGCTAATTAATCCATCATTAGCACATGTTTATTGTAGAACCACATTGTAAAATCGTGAAGTAGTTAGGCTTAATAGATTCGTCTCGCAAATTAGTCTCCATCTTTGCATTTGATTTTGTAATTAGTCTATATTTAATACTATAAATTAGCGTCCAAACATCCGATGTGATAGGGTCTAAAAATTAGTCCATGTATCGAACACCGACGCTAGATAGGCAGAAAGGTTTGGAACTTAGCGATTTTGCAGGAATCAATTTATTTTTATTTCCCATGCTCTAAATTAAAGGGGACCTAAATGTTTCTATTTTCATTTAGTTCTTGCATTCAGGTATGTGGGTGCAATTAAATTATTTTTCACAGCTTGAAGATGGAAGATCTCCTGGAAATTTTCAACAACCTCAGACTTGCTCATGATATGATGATGATGATTTCTCAAAGTTATGTGCACTGTGTACTGGCAACTAAAGTTTGCAATGGTCCCAAAGTAACTTAAGAAATGTTTCTCTCCTCTTAATGAAAAAAGGAAGTATTTTCTGCGATTATGTGATGATACTCTCTCTGTTTCAAATTATAAGTCGTTTTGACTTTTTTGTTCATCTATTTTGCTATGTATCTAGACATATATTATTATATATATCTAGATGCATAGTAAAATACATGTACCGAAAAAGTCAAAGTGAGAGAGTACGTGTCAAGGAAGAAGTTGGGCCTCTTGGCACAGGCAACACACCACAATGAGATGGGAGAGGAACACAAGCAGAAACAAAACTCCAAAGATTTGAATCAGGTAATATTAATTTTCTAATAATGACACTAATTGGACATCTTTTCGAATTAAAATGAGACATTATTTTAGTCTAAACATAGTCACTAACTTAAATTGATGAGGAATTAGCTAATTACGTATTGACTAGAGCCGGTAGGTGTCACCTATGCCTCTAGAGATGTAGTAGGGTCGATTTTAGAGTCAGGACTTTCTCTTGATCTAGATGTAGATACAGATGTGCGGCCTCCTGGGATATGGAGCCGAGCTTTCAACCCCTTGTAACGTCCAATAGACCGGTAATATTGGTTTACGTGTCAAGGGAATAAGCCCAATCTCATAATCATCTTTGGTCTTATTTATATACAATGTGTGAGGCCAAGGCCGTCTCTAGATAACCCTTATGGTTACCATCGATCATGGTAAATGATGTAACAATTTAACACTGATAGGTAGAGCTAAACTTAACTCGTTGTGCCAACTGTTGATCTCTCGGTTAGACGATATCACATCCCCCACATCCAACCTATCTAAGGGGGTGTTTGGATCCATCTACTAAAATTTAGGAGGTGTGTCGGAAGGATGTTGTATGGGGTGTTCGGATACTAATAAAAAAACAAATTACATAATCCGTCAGTACGGCACGAGACGAATTTTCTAAGCCTAATTAATCCGTCATTAGCATATGTTTACTGTAGCAACGTTGTCAAATCATAGACTAATTAGGCTTAAAATATTCGTCTCGTAAATTAGTCGCAAACTATGCAATTAGTTTTGTAATTAGCCTATATTTAATACTCCATGTATGTGACAAACATTCGATGGGACAGCGACTAAAATTTAGGAGGGGCAACCAAACACCCTCTAAGCGTGGTAATTAAATCGAAAGGGAACTAACTAATAAATTATCTTGTCACATGGCTGATGCTCTGCAAAAAAAAATCTCATGATTTTAGCATGAACATCTTAATTAATTGCTTAGCTTTTTTCCTTCAAATTAATTGCTTAGTTTTTTTCCTTGTCTGCATCACGCTCACGCGATCATGCATTTATCATCAATACAAAATTTCAGAAACAGTATCTTGCTACGGAAGCAGATCAAAGGGGACAGACAATTGCCTCAAACAAAAACAAAAAAAAAAGAAGAAGAAGGGAGGGACAAACAAAAGGGAACAAGAAGATGATGGCCTTGTGAAGATGCTGTTGCTGCATTAGGAAACGAACAACAAAGTTTCGTTCAGAAACCAACAGAAATGGAACAAGAAGATCAGTAGCCTACATAACCGCAACAAGACACCAACAGAAATGCAGGCCCTCCTCTTGTTATCTATTTCCAGTCAATTGACTGATGAAGAAAACATCTTTTTTGTAGAAGAACAGGTCTATGATCCTAGTCTTCCGGGTCTTCCTAGCATGTAGGAAACCGTTAGTCCTCTAGACCACTCGTTCTCTGTATATGTACAAGCTCCATCTGGTGAATACAATTGAGCACTTCAGTCACTTGTTCTCTTACATGGTATCAGCCGCTTCCTGCTCCATTCTTCCGCTGCCTCTCTCACTGCTCTACGTCGTCTTCCTCATGGCATCACCCTCCCAATCCTCCAGCTCCTCTCGCAGTGCCGCGTCCAACCCCTTCGCCACTCTTCCCGACGCGGACACTCCCACTGCTGCCACGATTGCCATGGTCAACATTCGGGCCCATGTTCCAGTGATCCTCGAAATGGACGCCGCCAATTTCCGCCAGTGGCGTACCTTCTTTGAACTGACGTTCAAGAAGTTCGGCCTCATGGATCATGTGGATGGCACCATTGACGCCGCCCTCATGCAACATGACCCCGAGTGGTGCCAGAACGACTCGAGCATCAACTCTTGGCTCTACACTACTCTGTCCAAGGACCTGATGGATGCGGTCTATCAGCCCCGCTCCACGGCGCAATCCGCCTGGCAGGCGATCAACAGCCAGTTCCTCGACAACAGCCTCCAGCGCGCCGTCTTCCTGCAACAAGACTTCCACAGTCTCTATCAAGGGGACATGTCGATCACGGAGTACTGTGGTCGTCTCAAGCAGTTGGCCGACGCCCTCTACGACGTCGGTGCCGCCGTCACCGATCAGGCCCTCATCATCAACACTCTCTGCGGCCTCCATCCTGACTACAGTGGCGCCGTCGCCGTCCTCTCCTCCAAGGTGTCGCCGCCCACGTTCCTCTACACTCGGTCCTACCTCGTGCAGGAGGAGCAGCGCAAGTCTCTAACACGCAAGATGGCGGCTGCCACGGCACTCCTCGCGGCGGGCTCCTCCAACACTTCTGCTCCACCTCGGCCCGCCAACCATGGCGGCCATGCTCCTTCCTCCACGGGCGGTGATCGCCGCAAAAAGCGCAAGAACGTGGACGGGCGGTTCCGCAATACCGGGAACGCCTCTAGCACCGCTCGTCCACAAGGTGGATCCGCTTCTTCCGGGCCTCCGCCATCGTGGGGCCAGGCATACAATCCATGGACCGGCTACGTGCAGGCCTGGCCCACGAACCAATGGAGTGCTCCGCCTCAGGGTGCCCTCACCCAGCGTCCCGGTACGCCCCAGCCACAGGCGCTGGCTGCGTTCCAGGCGCCCTAGCTCCCGTAAGCGCCACAGATCGGTTTCGGCGAGGCGAACCCCTTCGCCATGCAGCAACAGCAGCCTCCTCATGGCCTCCTCTCCGCCCTCCATGGTGTGTCGACTCACGCTCCACTCGGAGGACACGGTGGTGGTGATTGGTTCCTCGACACCGGGGCCACCTCTCACATGGCCTCCAATTCTGGTATCCTCTCATCCCCTTCCTCCCTTCCTTCACCCTCTCATATTATTGTTGGCAACGGTGCTCCCCTTTCGGTCCAGTCCCATGGACATGCTCTTTTGCCTACACCATCCTCATCTCTTAAACTGAATAATGTTCTTATCTCCCCTCATTTGATTAAGAACCTTATTTCGATTCGTTCTCTCACCATGACAATTCATTTTCACGAATTTGACCCGTGTGTTTTTCCATAAAGGATCTTCGTTCCAAGACGGTTCTCGTTGTTGTGACTCATCCGCGCGATCTCTATCCCCTTCGATGGCCGACATCCGGTGGTCCAACATAAGCTCGAGCTCTTCTCGCCTCCCAAGACTCCAAGTCGTGGCATGCCCGTCTTGGCCATCCAGGAGAGGACTCCTTGCGTCGCGTCTTGCATTCCTTTGGTTTTTCCCGTAGCAAATCCGGCAAACACACATGCCATGCATGTCGCTTGGGCAAGCATGTGCGTTTGCCCTTTACCACCTCCAATAATGTTTCTTCTTCTCCTTTTGATCTCCTTCACTGTGATGTCTGGACCTCACCAATAACAAGCAATTCTGGTTTTCAGTTTTACTTAGTTGTACTTGATGATTATTCTCACTATGTCTAGACATTCCCACTCCATCATAAGTCGGATGTTCTTCCCACTTTAATTTCTTTCCATGCGTTTATGCGAACTTCGGTTCATATGACATCAAGTGTTTTCACACTGACAATGGTCGCGAATTCGATAGCACTGCAACTCGAGCTTTCTACACCACGCATGGCATTTCCCTGCGCCTCACTTGTCCGTATACGTCCCAGCAAAATGGACGAGCTGAGCGGGTCTTGCGCACGATCAATGACAGTGTGCGTGCAATCGCTGTTCCATGCTTCGTCCCACCCCATTTTTGGTCGGATGCTCTCAAAGATTTGCTACATACTTGATCAACCACCGACCATGTCGCCCACGCTCCAAAAAACCCCGCGCATGAGCTCCTCTTTGGCGTACCACCCACATATGAACACCTACGCACTTTTGGTTGCCTTTGCTA